ATTATGGATTTATAGAAATCCCAAGTTCTACTTTTCAAGTCAGATGCCTCTATGCTGTACTGATAACCACTATAGACGTGCCTGTGAAATGAGCCAGTTGATCAGACTGAGCTGCAAAATCTGTTTCCAGACTCAGAAATACTGTTGTTACTTGCTCTACATGCTCCCAAACGTGTGCGGCATGTCATGCCGTCCATTAGGGGGATCTTTAGTTAGTGGGATTGTCTTTAATATGGTTCTGTTTCCTTTCTCAGTCTGCCCCCTGGTGGTTGCCAGTTGACAAGGCGTACTGGCGACAGGTGAGTGAGTGTTTCTTTTAACTGCAGAAGAGGCGGGCTTGACATTTACACAGGAGGTCGGGTGCTCAAATCATTTACTGCAGTTCAATAGGATGTGGGGCCTCATTCCCAAAGGCTCCTCTGAAAATCTGAGCCAGAGTAACTGCAGAAGCAGAAGATAACTAGAAGGGCTGATGACCTGGCAGACTAGGGCACATGGCACCCTTCCGAGCTGTTCTTCCTCATTTTGCCTATCTGCAATAGTTAGGGGCTCTGTGATGGGAACAGCCCTGCCTGTTTGGGAGTGATCACAGGTGATCTGGAGACTATAGTCTTGGCTGTGAATCCCATTAATACCCATAGCCTTTCTAGTTGAAATGGTCCCTGCATGACAAAAGTTAAGGTTTTGTCCCTGTCCCTACCCCAGCTGGGTGCATGATGAATTTCTACCAAGTAATCAGAGACAAGGTGCCCTGCATCATGTACAAGAAGGGTGCATTACCAAGTCATTTAGCAGTCCAGAGTATGGACATGTAGCTTCATGTGACGGAGGATGGATCAGTGATGATGGCATTAACCTAGGACACAGTTCAATCTCTTATTCTGTCACAGATTATTAGTGTAATATTTATCATCATTGCCATTTCTCCCCTTTGATAAAGTAGTGCTTAAAAGGGTGCACCCAAATTTGTCTTCCCATATGCATTTTAGCAGACTTGTTACTGAAACACACAAGTCTTCCATGCAGAAATAGTACAGGATTCTGAAACGTTTCAGTGCCTTCCTGACAGGCAGCATCAAGTGGGTGGGGATGATCCTGGTGGCATCGTGCAGCTGATGGATCTCATCTTAAACTGACCATTTCTTTTCAGCCATCAGGTCCAGGATCCAGTATAAAAGACAGGCTGGATTACCCTGTGTTACATGTGAGCTGGAACGATGCCCAGGCGTTTTGCAAGTGGAAAGGGAAGAGACTTCCTATGGAGGAGGAGTGGGAATTTGCTGCAAGGGGAGGACTAGAGAGTATGTAAGAGAAACTCTTTGATCTCTTTCTAAAACCAAACTGATCCTTCAAGAAGTGGCATTCCTACTGCTTTCTCAATCAGGCACACATTTCTTCTTCACTTGGCTGCAGTCTGGCCTCACTCCAGGGAGAACTGCATTTTGGTGGAGGATGAAGTGCTCCGTGTGATTGTTCATATTACAGTAAAGAATAAGGGGATGCTTTGGGATGAGGAGCCATTGTGTCCTTTGTTTTGTACATTCTTCAGCATTTTTTTCAAAGTTAAAATATTCATTTTTTAATTAATGGTTAATTAACATTTTCTTAATCAGGGATATTGGCAAAAGGGTAAAGCCAACAATTCTTCCCAGTGTCCCAAGCAGGAAAGGACAATCAAGGAAAATTGTTAAAGAGAGGTAAATGAAGAAAACAGACTAAGCTGCAGGAACTAATTGGTCTTTCTTCCCTGTTGGACAGGTAGACTATATCCTTGGGGAAACAAGTTTCAAGCAAATCGCACGAATCTGTGGCAGGTAGGGTCCAAAAACCATCCTGTCTGTTGTGAGTTGTGCTGATGGTTTGTTGATTTAGAAAAATGTCCTTAAGTGACCCTAGAAGGTATTTAGGCAGTAAGTGATACGGACTTTTCTTTAGGATATTGAAAACCAGCTAACGGCTGTTGTCAAACTTGTCATAATTTTATTAACTTCCTCCATGGCTAGAAAATAGGTAATCGCCCCACCCACAAATGGGGGAATTCGGATACCTCGACATTTCAAACTGTTCAGATCAAGAATTTTGTTGAGAAGGCGAGGGAGGGAAATCATGGATGCTGACAGAAGGGACATTTGTCATGCGATTGGCCCCCTGAAAGCACTCTACAACCATGCCCTGACAGAAGTGCATGACTGCAGAGCATTTTAAAAGTGGCCGATTGCATGACAAATTAGCCCTCATGTAATGAGGGATCAGATAAAGGTGCTCCAAGGAGTGCCTTCATCTAACTTCTGTTAGTCCCTGCCTGTGATCAGGACTGGGCTGATGTGCCTAGCCCTGCCCCTGGTGCTGTCTGCAGGAAGGGAGGGGGAATGAGAGAGGGGGAACACTCTGTGGGCTGGGGTTTACCCAGCCTTAGCTGGGCGGAGGGAGGGGTAGTGGACTGAAGCTCCGTGCACCTTGCAGCCCCCTCCCCCTCCAGCTCAGGCTGGGCAAACCCCAGCTTGCAACGCACTCCCATCCCTCATCCCTGCTCCCTTCCTGCAGACAGCACGGGCACTGGGGGGCTGGGGGACAGGTCTAGGGGAGAGAGGCTGCTAGCAGGCAGCTCCTCCCCTGGATCAGCTTCGAAGTGGAGCTCGATTCCCCGGCACCACCACTCCTGCCCAAACAGTGACCTTCTAACTCATGGCGCTTTCCGTAAAATGCCATGAGTTACTGTAGGGAGCTGCACATCTGTCGGTATCCCATGTCTCCCTCTTGGATTGACTGATCCCATGAAAGTATCTTTGTCTGTGATTTACATCTGTAAAGCTATTTCCATTGTTTTAAGTTACATGAGGTTCTATTGGAGGTCATTTTCTTTTGCTTCTTTCTGTGTTGCTGGCTATTCATTCTCCAGAGTGAAACCTTCTCTTCACACAGGGAAATTTCCCAAAGGTTGATACGGCAGAAGATGGTTACCATGGTGTTTCCCCAGTGAAAGCATTCCCTCCTCAGAACAGTTACGGTACAGGACCTACACCTTTGTCTTCCTTGAAAGTTCATCCGTTTGTTAATTTCCATTTAGAAATAATAAAATGAAATATTGTGATGGAAGCTGGCCCTGAAAATCCAAACTAATACATTTCTTGGCATCCTGATGTGATGATACTGAGCATGTCAGAAAACTGTCGTGGTTTTTAATGTTGTTTAAATTGGCTGCTGTAGGCCTGGTATTTTAATGCAAAAAGCCAGCATTCCCTGCAGTGATTAATTTATAAAAACAATGCATTACTCTGTTTTTTTTTATAATGGGTCTCAAAGCACCTTGTTAATATTAACTAACTGAGGCTCACAGCATCCTTTTGAGGATAAGCAAGCAGTATTGCTGCATTATGCAGATGGGAGACCTGAGACACTGTGCAGATAAGAGACTTGCCCAAGAAAGAATGAGAGAGCGGGAAATAAAACCAAGAGTTTCTGACTTCTAGTCTCCTACTGTGGCTATTACACCATCCTTACGATGGTGGCTTGAACACCATAATCCTGAGTGCACCAAAGTGCTTTCAGGAGGTCCATATATTAAAAGTACAGCTGTTCTGTGGATATTCATGAACAATGTTTTTATCTTAGGGCTCTATGACCTGTTAGGGAACACTTGGGAATGGACTGCCTCAGAGTATTTACCTCCTGCAGCTTCATCAAGGCAACCTGCTCAGAAAATGCATGTCCTGCGGGGCGCATCTTGGATTGACACAATGGATGGATCAGCCAATCATAAAGCTCGTGTTACCACAAGGTAAATGAATTTACTGCAGTGCCCCAGGATTGCTTTGTTTTACTATTAGGGTTCCACGATAATTCACATTTATTTCCATTTAGTAAATTATTTCTGAGTTACTTTCTTTTTATTATCTAGCAGTAATAATTTAATTTCTTCTAGTACCAAGCATACTCTTCTAATACCTTGTATTTATCGGAAAATGCTTTTCCACGCCAAGCCATCTCTGGAGTGAAGTGCAGCCAGCTGGTGAAAAGCACCCTGCACAATAGGATGGGAGGGAATATAAATGAACTCCTGCTGAGAGTGATAATAATGGAAATTAGGACTAATATGCAGTATAACTAATGGCAGGGATTTCATCTGTTTTAATTGTACAGACAGTCTCTGACAAAAAAAAGTGAGATTATGTAGAGTTTCTACATTATTCATGAGTAAATGATTAATTGCAGATATTACTGACATTGTTTTGCTTTTGTTCTCAGTGCTAATTATTGTTGGCCTAAAGGAAATATTTTTTAAAACTCTGAAGAGAAACTGCATCACTGCTGAGATCCCTGGAGGCAGTTCTGAACATTACGGGGCAGACTTTCTAAATACTCCATTCCCATTTAGACACCTAGTTTTAAGCATAATTAAAAAAAAAAAAATCTCAATATAGTAGATATTTAGTTCTTTAGAAGATGTAGCCACCTACTTGGGAACGTAAATGGAAACTGAGCACTTTGAAAACATCCCCATAGCTATCATTTTTAAAGTACCTAAACACCAGACGCCCTTCCACCACAGATTGTGCTTCAGTTACACACAAGGTAACTGGGATTCATGCAGAAGTGACTAGGTGGCATTGCATGATTTGTGCTCTGCAGGATGTCAGGCAAGGTATTGTAATGGTCAGTTCTGGCATAGTAAATTGATTCACTTTGATTTGATTTTATTTTTTGCCTAGAATGGGAAACACACCAGATTCAGCCTCTGATAACTTGGGTTTTCGCTGCGTTGCTGATATCAACAATCTCACGACTATGAAAACCGGGAGGAAAACAGAGCTGTGAATAAGTCCCTTAGTGAAAATAACCTCAGACATTTTCTCCTGTGGAGATGAACTGTACTTCCCTGTGGCTGGGTTTGATCAAAATTTAGCAAGTTTTAAAAATTTGCAATTAATCTTCATTTTTGCAAAGGCAGGTTTCAGGCATTGTCTTTTTTTTTTTTGTCTGATAACCTTAATTCCCTGTTGGCTTTTTTAAATGCTGCTGCTCTACTGTCCGCTAACCTCAGCAGCAGCCCCAGTGGACCCAGTTCCGCAAGCACTTCATGGAAACAGTTCCACGGAAATCCAGAGAAATACTCATGAGCAACCTCTTGCCATCTCGAGGGTATTTAAGTGCCAAATATGCAATGATTTAAATTAAAACATGATTGAAATCAATCTCTGCCTCAGTCTTCCCACCTGAAAATCAGGCATCATAAAACTTTACCTACCTCACAAGACTGTTGGGAGAATGGATTATTTCACGGTTCCCCAGGTAGATCTAGGATTTTGAAAAGGGGTTGTGCAGATGGTATGGCACATTGTCACACATGACACAACACATACTTTTCTCCAGTTAAAGAGAAACCAGATGCTTTACTAATATGCTGGGGGCGAGGGTCACACTATACAAAAACAATTATTGGAAAAGGCACTAATTTGCTAGATGACATATAAAGTTTAAAAAACCACAACCAACTAGGCGAAAAACAGTTAAGATGGTCAAAAGACACTGCTTCATTAGTCCTGTAGTCATTATGGTTAAATATATGTCTCTTATTCAGCTCCATAAAACAAAATCTAGCCTTCTTGACTGCCTTGACCGTGCCTCCAAAACTTCACTCTCAGTTGTTTCTGCATCTGAATTAACATGATCGCACTTAAAGGCTTTTAGATAGAACTAAAAACAGTCTGCAAAGCTGTGAAATAGGGACTAACAGACAGGAAAATTGCAGAAAAAAGGATACTTTCAATAGTGGAACATCAAGACCATTAAAAAGGAGAGAGGGCATGTGGAGTGGAGAGAAATTAGTGGGAATCAGGGAGATGATAATGAGCCACGAAGTCAACTGAATCAGCATTGGCTGATAAATGTGGTTGCCCCTCCCAGGCAATTGGTTTTACAAGTTGAGTGAAGCAGGAATGAAAGCACCACTGCACCCTCCTGGATCCATCCCTGCAAATGTCTATAGCACTTTGAAGATAAATGCTTAAGTATTATGGCTGGGGCTACAAAACCATGGCTAAGAGGGCTGGGCCGCTAACTCCCATTGAAATTCAATGGGATTTGGTCATGTTAACGCCTTAAATCTCTTTACTATCCATTCTTAATATTATTCCATGGCTTTATATTAAGAGTTAAAAGTGCTGCGTCTTAACAATTCCCCAGCACACCAGCTAAGTAAAATGAAGCACATTTATTGACATTTAAACAGTTAAATTTAAATGTAAACAGTTACAAAACCATATATATTTATTTCCGAATGCACAGATAAAATAAATAGAAATAAATAGAGCAAACCCACTGGATGTTTTGACCAATGTAAGTTCTATGTACTAGCCACATAACCTTTTCAAACTTCTCAATGAATATGCAATGCATGGGTCAACGTTAGCTGCAGTGTACACTTTCCTTCATTCAATAGGTGTTTAAAAGCCTAAATCACAGCTGTATAAAGTGAATTGTTGCTCTTTAACCTAAAGCATTAAAATCCTGGAGCAAAAATGTCTCCCATGCTTAAAGAGCGCTTAGATATTTACTGCTGTAGCTGAAGCGAGCAGTGCTAATGGTATAACAGTATTTACTGACTAAAAGAAGTGCTACAGCAGATTCTAGTCCCACTTCAGAATACTGCCCATCACTGAAAGAAAGGAAAGAGTGAGCCGAGTCCATTAACGTTAAGGTTCTGAATGCTGTTTCCAGAAGAGTGATTGAATTAAGGAAAATGCAAAAGATCTTGTTTTGGTTGACTTGATATAAATGAACAGAAAAACAACAACAAAACCCAACGAGGGTCAAGCAGAAACTGTTTAATTTTGGGGTTTTTTTAACCTTCTAAAATTTGCTGTAGGTGAACTGCTAAATGAAAAACTTGAGAAACGCAAAATCCAACATTTTGCTCTGAAAATGTTCCAAAACCATTTGGCAGATGTGATCCTAATGCATTAATCATTTCAGCTGGGCAAAATCTGCACTTTTCATGAGAAACTAATCGTAACCAGAAATCTCAAGTTAGCCTCAGCCAGACACGCAGGCCCCAATTCTATCAGCTTTTTTTCAGCCTTGATTCCCTGTACCCACGCTGATTGCAACAGTGTGGGCAACCAGCTCCCGAACTCTAGGGAAGTTTGTAGCAAATGATAACGACAGAAACAACATAGCGCGCCTTACTTCGGAGGCTTCTGCACGGCTGAAAAATAGTTAATTAAATTCTTTCCTGACCAGATGTGAAGGGAGTATGCCCCTGTGTTCTGCCTGTGAGTGGGCAAGGTGATGATCTGAGTAGCACTAATGTTCCCTATCGTCCTTTCTTTTTTGGTTGCTTTTCTCTAAAATAGAGACCAGAGCTGCAGAATACAGATTTTGAGCTGGATCCAAACTTCAGAGCTGGGATTTTGCTTTGGGCTTCTCTGTTTGGTGAGCTGCATTTTAAAGGCTGCTTCCCTCCTTCCCTGCACTTTTGTGCTCAAAAGTCATGCCAAGCCAAAAAAGAGTTGTGTACAAAAAATTGTGTCCAATTCATTTTGGGCATAGCTTGTGGTGCTTAGGATGTCCACGTGCCTCTGCTAAGAGTCTTTTGTACCTGAAGTTAATTGCAGTTGCAAGATTAGAGGCCACTTCTTAAATATGTCCTGAATCAGTATAATATGCAGATTCCTGATGCAGACAACTCATTGGAGTTCAATGAGTCCATGCAGGGGCTGTATACATGGGTAACTCGAAGGACTGAGGCAAAGAAAGGATATCATTATTTGACCCACACAGTGTTGACATGGTTACAAATTGAGATTTTCCTTAGGAAACCATAAAGGAGACTGCTGTTAGTTTCCAAAGGTTTTACTTGCTTAAACTCTTAGCAAACTCTTAAGCTTACTCGCCGTGGGTGCAGCTTTAGTCAGGTAAATCAATATAGCTCTTCCTCTGCTGCTATGCTCATCAAAATGGCCTTGGCGGTGTTCTCAAACAGGGCAGCTCTGTTCTGTGCTTCTCCCTTCTTCACCCAGTGTCCATAGATTCTGAACGCACAGGCATCGATCAGTTTGCGAATGGGTTTCAATGCGTAGGGGTTCTGCGTCACCAACTCTCTGGTAACTGGCTTCACATTCCGATAGGTATAGTATATGCGGACGGATGCCAGAACTGTCAGGCAGATGACCTGAAATGCAATTGGAAATTTCATGGATGCTGAACCCTCCTTCCCAGGCACCTTGGCAAAATTAATTTAATCAATAGCTCATTAGTTTAAACTGATTCAGTCTCTCAGACAGTGTGAAGGAGGAAAGTGGGGCAGGGCACACGCCTAGGAAGACTTCTGCTTAGAAAGAAGATGGCAATAACATTATTATTAATACAGGCAGCCTAATTTCCAGGCCAGAATTTTAACTTCATGATCAGTGTATGGGATGGCATCGACTTACCTATTCTACTTCTTTCTTTAAATGCTTAACCTAATGTTATTATACTACCTAATATTTCTATAACTGTATATATTAGAGAAGGAGAAATTATGTCTCCATATTTTCCACTTAGCACGGAGGGAGATTCACTTCTCTCACCTATGTACTAATTATTTCCTAAGGTTTGTGGGAGCATTTGGTTTTTGGAATCCCTCTCTTCCTGCTCAGCCAAAAGAAAAGTAAGTTACCCTTTCCTTGGTCATAGAGACATAGGGCTAGAAGGGACCTCCAGAAATCATCTAGAACAGCCCCCTGCCTGAGGCAAGATCATCCCTATCCATCCCATACAAACTATAACCTAAGCTCGACATAAGACTACCTTCAAAACCCCTCCTTGTAACACACTTCATCCATTAATGCTTTCAGAAAAAAAAAAACTCTAGGGAAGGGGTGGCCAACCTGTGGCACATGTACTACAAATGACATACGAAAGACCTGGGAGAGGACTGGCAGCACAGCTGTAGATATAGGGCAAGGAGCAGAAAGCAGAGCAGCAGACTCGCAGGAACGCAGAGCAGGAAACAAAGCAGAGCAGCAGATCAGGCGGGGAGCACAGGGCAGAGAGCAAAAAGCACAGCAGCAGATCAGTTAGGGCAAGGAGATTACAGTGGCACTTGGGGAGGATGCAGAGCAAATTTGTGGTACACCTGCCAAAAAGCAAATGTACCTCTTGCAGTAGGATAAGTCAGATAATGAAGATAATGAATAAAATGGTCACTGCTATCATGCTGGCTTTCAGCCAGTTGTTGCTGGCATATCCAGTATCTGCACTGAGGTCTGTCTCCAAATCATTCATATTTAATGGGTAAGCCCATTTTGACTAGCTCCTATTATTTTCTTCCATATTGTTAGAGATGAGTTTGGATCCCTATCTAAGGACCTGATTCTACTCTACTTTAGCCTGGGGGAGCCGGTGTCAGAGCCTACATGCTGGGAAGGGACTATATCTGCTGTCTCAAGTAAATATTTAATAATCAGACTGAAATGTTTATATGGTCTCATGTCCAATATACTTGAAGCATCTCCCATTTAAACAGTTGTCATCAGGATAGAAAGATCTCAAAAGAATCATACTTACCCTGAATTTTCTGAAAGGGCTGAAGCTCCGCACTTCTTCCACGAGGTACTGCTGAAAGAATGGATGAGCCAACGCTTCGCTGGCTGTGTAACGCTTCTGAGGATTCACCACCAGGAAGTGAGAAATCTGCAAGAAAAGCACAGGCAGGTGGATCTTCACTCTGTGGCAGGCCCATCTCTTCTCATTGTTCCCCAGAAGCATTCTGCCAGTCAGTAATGCAGGATACTTACCTGTCTTTATTTCCTCAAGGCTAGAGACAGCATAATGATAGCATTGCCTGGAAATGGCCCTCTGGTTATTTGCATTACACTCAAGCCCTAATCTGGCACTATACCAGCGCACCGTCGGAGACAGTCCCAGCCCTAAACCATCTAAACACAAGACATTAAAAGGCCCAGAGAGATTACGGTAAGTAACCTGCTCAAGGTCACTCAGCATCAGTGACAGAACCCAGGTCCTGACTCCTGCCATTGCCTGTCCATCAGATCACACTGTTTAGCATAGGAGGTGCCCTCCCCTTGTCCTATTCCTTTGGCAGCAGGTGAGCACTTACCAGATCTTTGACCGTGTCCGACCGATCATCCCACTCTGGAGACCCAAACTGGTAATCTCCGCTCATGATCATCCGCAGCATCACCATCTGCTTCCGGTGCCAGAAGGGTGGGGAGCCAGCCAGCAGCGTGTACATGATCACGCCAGTACTCCACCTGCAAACAGCAATGCAGGGCAGTAGCAATATGCACCAGTATCCACCATGCTGCAAGGTGACAGTCCAGTAGAGACAGGAGCAAGCCGCAAAATTCTGATCCAGCCCCGGGCTTCAACTGTCCTCAAGGTCTAGGAGTTTCAGCCTGACAATGCCAGAGGGCCCAGTTACAAAGCTGGATTCAGGCCTGCATAGGCTGTACTGTACCTCATGCTAAATCAAGCTGGAAGGGGCTAGCAAGGGGATCTTGTGCTTTGCACCCATGAGACTAATCAGGGTCCAGTTTAATGTGGGCTAAAAAGAGAGGGCTAACGGTGACAAGGATCGAGTAGGTCAGGGTTTTTTTTGATTGCTCACAGCCGCTCATCTCCATAGCGGCTGCCTCTATTCGAGTCTGTGGCAAAACTACTGACTGCTCTCTTAGCGGGCGTAAAACCAAACTTCACACTTTACTACAGGCTTCACTGAGAAGCCAATAAGACCATACTGGACACCCAGGCAGATGTAGATCGTTTATCACTGTTAGTGGTACTTTAGTGGTTTTTAGCGTTACTCTGGCAAAGCAGCACCGCTGAGGCAGGTGATCAAGTGCTGCTATCTGAAGTGTAGAGACCTGTTAATAACAATCATGGGTTCTCTGCTTCAGATTGCTTTAGTGAAATGAATTCTCATCATACCTCTGCAAAACAGGTGAAGGACAGCAAAGAATCAGAGGCAAAAACCATTGGTCAGAACTGGTATTAAAAGGTTGCCATGCTTGTCTCTGACTCCTGTGTGCAGACTAGTAGCCCATTTCATTAGGCCACCAGTACAATTACAAGATGGCATCTGCTTGAGGCACTAATTTGAGACTATTCATCGGTTCCAGAAAGTGGCAGTTGCTATTCAGATCCTGTGCTTGGTGATTCATTTGTACTAGCAAGCTCATCTCGCACACCCCCTCAACCTAGGCCATGAGAAGTTCTGCAGTAAACCTCAGACTAATGCCATGAGAGGGTAGTTCCAAAGGTAGTAGGGAAGTTTTTTGGTATATAGGCATGCTCTACTTACATGTCAACTTCCTTTCCATACCCTAAATGTTCTTCATCCATGGAGCATTCTAATATTTCAGGTGCTAGATAGCCAGGAGTGCCACAGATTTCTGCAAGAGAAGGATAGGATTTTTCATCTCAGAAAAATGAGTGCTCCTAGATGGAATGTTTCTAGCAACAACACAAGTGTGTTATATAACAGCAACGCGTGGGGACCTTGATATTATATTCCTCTGACGACCTATAACTTATTATTTGAACAGCGACAAAGGCAAAGGGAGCTAGGTGCCTCGCAGCCACCTGTGCCTCTGAAAACTGTGCTCTTAATGGGAAATGTGTGAACATTCAGGAAGGGGAAAGCTAACAGATAACAGTTTGAAAGAGTGCAGCTACAGCCCACTAGACAGAGAGAGCGAGAAAGTGGGGAAAAAGGAAATTGAGGATTAACTTCCTGACAAAAAGCCTGCTTAACTGTCTCCCAGACTCGACAACTGAGACTGGACAAGACTGGAGAACAGACTGAAGAAGAAATCCTGACCTGCCAAGAAGTTGGCCTGGAGAATCCAGCAGGTCATTTCCATCTATTTGATTCCTCTGGGATCAAGCAGTCATCTTACCTTTGAGCTTTGCGTCCTTATTCAACTGACAGGAGAAGCCAAAGTCAGTTAGTTTAATGTTCATGTCATCATCCAGGAGAATGTTTTCAGGCTTCAGGTCTCTGTGGACAATGTTCAAGGAATGGAGATATGCAATCACTTCCAACAGAGCACGCATGATCTTCCTAAAAAAGGGGTGACAATGGAAGAAATCCACCTTTCAGCCACATAGTCCCTCCAAAAGACAAATCCCATTTCCCTCCCATACCCTTCCACCAGTCAGGCCCAAAATGTGGCAGATGCACTTAGTATGCCCTGCTTCCAAGTGGTCAGATGAGTATGGTATAGCTTTTAACCTTAGCCTCTGATACAGTTGGCAGTGGCGGAGATCCCTCACAGTCAAGGATGATCACTCCTTCAGGTAGTAGGGACATTTTTGATCACTCTCTAAAGGGTTGTAGATGAATCCTAGTGCCACAGACTTTCTGGCAAATGCCACAGGTAGTGGTTAAAGGGAGGGTCAGATCACAGCTTTCTCAGTTTTGTTTTATTTCCTTCCATTTATGTCATGTTTCTGCCTCCAGGGTGAGACAATTTTCTTCAAAGTAAGATGTGCCATCTCTCACAAAGCATTGGCATGTAGCCCTGTCCCAGACTAGTTTTTTCCCAATTTGTGGTGTCAATGCCACGCTTCTTAATGTTTGCCTTCAGGGTGTCCTTGAAGCATTTCCTCTGGCCCTCATGTGCTTTGTCCTCGGCTGAGTTGGGAGTAGAGCAGTTGTTTTGGTAAGCATACATCAGACATGTGCACACGACGTCTTGTCCACTGCAACTGATGCTGAACAGTCAATGGTTCCATACTAGCGGTGTCAGCATTGATGAGGACACTGACATTTGTGCAACAATCCTCACACTTTATGCCAAGGATCTTCTCGAGGTAGAGGTGGTGATGGCATTCCAGGCTTTTCAGGTGGTCCTTGTAGGTCACCCAAGCTTTACAACCATAGAGAAGAGTGACCTTTGACCTTACCACCAT